AGCTGAGGGACTTCACTAACTCTATTGATGGCGTTACTTGACAGATCGAACTTGTTTTAAGGAAATTAGGATTATATTTTAGTTGTGCAAATCTACAAATGTCATTTGATAAAGTCGCAAAATAATGTAAAATAATATTTCAGTGGAAAAAGTAAAAACCTTCGAATGCATCTACGAAAATTTATTCCCTATTGGAGTTTATGCTCATTTCAAATTTTGGATATTTAAAATTATTAAGTTTAATTCTAATGAACCGACGTTTGCAAGAAACGCTGAGGGATTTTACCTAAAATAGATTCAACATCCCTTAAAACTCCATTATTTAGCTAAACCGTTTTCGTAAATTGTGATGCAAGACCGTCGAATGGAAAAATATTTACCATATATTCGAAAGCAGGAAAAAGTATTTATGGAATCCACTTATTCATGGCCGCAAATAATAAAGTCCGACTACGAAAGCATAACAAAAATGATTGAATCTCCCCTGAAAGTTTATACGACGGAATAACTTGCAAATGCTGCCAGAATATATTTCCGATGCTAATAAAGTGCGACTATAAAATATGATGACCCTGCCGCGCTCCTGATGCCTGCCGAGTGACTCTAAAATGTCAAATTAGGTTCTCCGTAATGTCGCATTGAACTTTTCCAGAGACCGGTTCCCAGAAATGATTCCAGATCGATCGATTTCAGTCGCCTACACCTGACATTCCAAAAATCAAGTTTAAATTCCATCAAAAACGTCAAGAATCTCAATCAATTTAATGTTTAATTCAACAGATGAGATAATTATAATGTAACGCTTAATTTAACAGAAGAGATAATAAGAATCTGAATTGATTCAATGTTCGTTAACAGAAGAATTTATAATTTCAACCTCTTTCTGCATATTCTTGAAATGTTGAACGTAACTTATTCATACAAAAAAAGAAAATTCCGAAAAGAATTTATTGAGATGTACAATTAAAAGTGTGTTGAAAATGTGATGTAACGTTGAGCAGTTCTCATCACGAGAGCTGCTGAGTTTCTTTGATTACCCTCTTGTGCCGTCAAGAGCAGCCCTTCTAAGGGCGTATCATGTGCACTTTATTGCCTGTCTTTAGAGCCCTTGTAAAACTCGACTCGCTCCAACTTATACTGCTTTTCTGCTCGCTCAAAACGACACATTCTTACCCGACTCCAGGGAACGCTGCTATTGCGATGAATCTAACTTCTCTTTGGAAGTTTTAGTTTATTCCTTGAAATTGTCACGGTTTGAAGGAAATAAAATACGAATTAACGCATTTATGTGATAAATATACGATTTATCGAGATCAAAACTAAATTCTCCTCAAATAAAAAGTAAAATAATGTTACATGATTTTGCTGGAATCCCTTCGGAATAAATCGAAGTTCTTTCAGTAGTCGCAGGATGTCGAGCGGAGATGCCGCCTCACCGGTGACTGGCCAATCAATGCTGAGGTAAACTCGATTTTTCCGCGCAAACTGCACTTTGATTCGCTTTTTGGAGTCCGGGCCAAACTCCCGCTTGTCCAGAAAGTTTTCGTGAGTCTGTTCGACATTTGATTTTCTGCGTAGTTCATTTGTTCAGAATTATATCTACCCTACATCAATTTCTCATCAAAATAATGAGGAAATATTGTAATTGTAGAGCTTGCCCTTTATTGCGATGTTTCCTGTGAGTACTCTTAATAAAAACAGGCAGAACTGAAAGACTTTCATTTCTAACTTATTAAAAATGGCGATCGTGAAAGCATCGCAATAAAGTACTGTTTTGTCTGCCTACTTGCTGAGTGCATTAATTTAAATGTATATAGTCTGATATCGCCTGATAGGTGTTCTCACTACTTTAAATTACTGGATTAAACTCGAAATAATCAATCTGCAACATCAAAGCGTCATGCTTATGTAGTTACTTAACAAACTACCACACAATGACGTGATTTGTAAATGGGGTAATTCAAGAAACTGCCTTGGAACTAACATATTACATATGCCGCACCCCGAATATCTCATCAACTCGACTATTACTTTTTCACAGAAGTTTAATTATACAGTGGAAGCCAAACATGACTTACATTTGTGGATCGTTTGGTCGGGGCTGTATTGCAAAGATGGAGATTGATATGGAATTTTTTGTTGTTTTGAAATGAGATTATTTATTTTATTGCTAAAAGGTAAAGTGTTCTGAAGTTTTTTGATGCAGTATTTTGCATACTATTACTTATTCAGCAAATATTTTCCTAACTAATTCGTTAGCATCAAACTAGATTGTTAATCGAACTAAATTTTTAGAAAAATAAATCAATTAAACTTTGAAACAAATGCAATTCAAAACCATTCAGGGCTTTCACTATTTAGCTTAGCTATGGTTGAGAATTGCGTCTTGAAAGCATATATTTCGCTGACTCTCTAGTGATGATAAGTGCAGCCGTTACTTTACGAGCGTTTATATAAGCACTTGAATGGGTTGATCGAATAGTGCGTTGCAGAGCCTCTGTAGTGCGCCGTATCAAAATAATTGTCGGAGCACTTGGATGAGTTAATCGTTGCAGTGCTGCAATATACTGCGTCGTATCGGAATTCATATTTTCATATTCAGGACTCTGTGTCCAGTCATGCGGATGCCGTAAATTATCCTGAAAACATCTTAGTTTCATAGTGCATAGATCAGAACGTGCATATTTTTTAAAGCTCATGTATTATAATTATCTGCTCATATGTTCCAAGTCATCAGTGAGTTATTTCTATGAGCAATTTCGTTTATTGTTCATTGCATTGAAATCTGTTCTGAGGGTAGAAGGTATCTGTTTCTGATTTCAAGAACAACATTAAGATTTGTCCACTTCTTGAAATGAAACAACAGATTGGTTCCTTATTGCCTCGCATCAGTCTCGTCCGAATGTTTTTCGCCTTGCCAGCGACGCGGATTCTTTCTCACCATCGGCATTTGTTATCCACCATCTGTGATTTCCGCAATGAATAATCCATACCTACACGGATTTTGATTTTTATGGACTTGAATTCCAATTATTTATTTTGTCGGAAAAAGATGCATACTTTATTACGCTCGCAACTATTGGTTTAACTGCGGCAATTTTCGATCCGTGGCTAGATTTACCAGTAGATGAGATGTCATCCGGAGTGTAGTTCGATAATTATATAAATTCCTGTTCATTGTTCGATTGTTCGAGAATGTGCCTAGTAAACTTCGTCGATACATGGAAGTTCGATGGTTGTGGAACGTACAATTAATCATCTCGTATACGTTTACAAATCATTTGCCCTGCTATACAAATGATTTCATTGATGGAATGAATTCCCACAGAAGAAAACGTGCAATTAATTTTCATAGTATAGTTCATTTAGAGCTTTCATAATTAATTAATTAATTAATTGATTAATAAATGCTCTTGATTAATGTGTGTATTCGATCGTAATCTAAGTTTTGGCTTGTAGTGTTGATTTTGCAAACTTGTCCTCGTTCAAATCAAGAAGAAGGAACGGTGGAAGTCCGGCCAAAGTTGGGCTTGCTGAGGCCAAAGGGGATCAGCTGTGGTCGGGTTTTAGTTAGTGAAGATATCGGTTGCTTTCAATGGAGCAGAAAACGCCTATGATCGAAGACCCGACGCTCGTTGGCTTCTACGGCAACTTCAAAACACGACCTTCGCAGTTCAGGGTCAGCCTTACTAATAAATTGCCGCAAATGTTCCCTTTCGCTTGATTGTCTTCGCTGTTATGAAAAACAATGTCTGTGGCTGCAATATTTTCTCATTCATTTCATTGAAATATTTCTCAGCACTTGCAAAGATCGTGCGACTCAGTCAAATTGACTCAGAACGAGCCAATTTTAAAATTTAGAAAATGTTGAAGAATATTTTACGCTTTAAAAAACGAAATTGGAACTCATGTCAAAGAAATCTTGGCAAACTTCTTCTCAAACGTTTGTATTTTTCGCTTTTTAATTGCTGTTGGCACTTTAAAAAAGGAAATCAGTTCTTACGGATTAACATGTTTTCAAACGTTATTGTATTTACAATATTCGTGTTTTACCAAACCATTTATTATAATACCGCAATGATGATGCATTGTTAAAATAACTTATCGCCGCTTGCTTTAATTTGCCAGTACATCCCTGGCGTGCCAGGGACAACTCTTGTTTGGAAACTTGATGCAAGCCACAACAAAGCGTTACCCCCACGACGCTGCGTCGACAATACAGAGCGGGTATCGGGACAAGACGTGCATGTTTTGGTGACGACGTGGCTTGCAGTTCAGCCTGGATGAGATAAAGGCAGTGAGCAATGTGGGTCCGAATGAGTCCTGCAATGGGCTCCTGTTCCCTAAGAATTCGCACGAGGCCTCCCCAAAAATCCAATGCAATGCAGATGCTCGACTCTGAATTGGATTTTCGTACCAAGCGATCTTGGGACTTGGAATTTTGTGCCCGGAGTTATTGTACTGCTTATTTATTACTGCTTATTTATTCTCCTCTTTTTGGGAAGGATTAAAACTTCTTGTTTTATATCGCGTTTAATTAAACTTTGAAATTCCGCTTAAGTTCTGTTTAAAAATTGTGGCAAACAAAATCATATAACATTCAATAAACTCTTTGTTACGCTAGGCTCTCGACCTTATCTCTGAAGAATCTACATGGTAGCAGCTAAAATTGCGTGAAAAATGAGTTACGAATACAACTACTGGTTGTTATGGGTAAATTAATAGCAGTGTAACTACCAAGCTCGGGTACAACACAAGCAATATTAAAAATCAACCGCAACGTTTTAACAGTTACATTGTCATCCGTAATGTTTTCAGCCGTAACGTTTTCACTAATCACTTTTTTATCCGTAACGTTTTCATCCGTCGAGATTTCATTCGTAACTTGCTGCCGTAATCAACCGGTTGAATAATAATAACAATAATAATAATAATAATAATAAATAATAATAATAAATAATAATAATAATAATAATAATAATAATAATAATAGAACTCACCTCATAGAAGTAGTAGGAGTGCTGGTCTGCAGTTGTCGAGGAATTGACGTTCAGTAAGAAAGCGTTGGAGGCGTTGGTACATGCGTTATATTCGAAGGTTGTGGCGTTGTAGCTACAATTTCCCTCGTCTACATCATCCATCCATACATCCACACTCCTCGAGAACGTGAGGGATGTGATGCCTGGGGGAGGATCGTGGGGGCTCTTCCACGATGTGGATATGGCTGCCATCTTGTCTGGCTGACTCATTGCCTAGGATTATGAATTCGGTTGCGTGAATTATTGTATGCACATAAACAATAGCTTTAAAAAGTTCAAGATTTATTTTTTATTAGAGAAGCAAAATAATTAAGTATGTATAACACTTTCTTTGAACCTAATTGAGCACAAATTTTTAATGTAAACTAATTTCACAGATTCTAATTTTTAATCCAAAAGTGAGAAACTTTTCCACGGTTTAGTTGAAAATGTCTGATAAATTCTTCAATTGTAGATCTGCAAATCACCGGAGCGAAATACATGTAATTAGGTCATATTCAAATGAAAACATATAATATTATATCATTAAGCAAAATATGAGCAATAATTCCTAATTAGCCGACTATTATTCAGAACTATTGAGGGCATGAATGTTGTTCATTAGCTGCAAACTCCTCAGCGCTCCTCAATGTTTATCTAGCTAAATTAAATTTATTATTTATAATAATTAGTAATTATAGTTTTAACTTAGGAAACGCATATTATAAAGTGTTATTTCAATCAATTGTCGCCTCTTTGTTAAGTAACGAACAATTTTGCTTGAACGAATAAATAACAGTGATTTTGACGAATGATAAGATATTTATATAAACTTTCGATTAATAACGAAATTACTTCTTCGTTAACTTTAGATAGAAATAGCAAACAGCAATGCAACTGCCCAACCTATCAAAATATCCATTTAAACTGTAACGGCTGTTCAATTGTTAAGAATTAAGTTTACCTTTAATCGTAGGGTTCATTAAAGTTTAAAAAAGGTTTGATGAAAATAAACGCGGCTTCATGTGCTTACAAGAGGCTACAGGGGTTTAATAATCATGTTTTATTCATTTAGTTAAATACAGGTGTATGGAGCATTCAAAAAACCATTTTGAAAAATTAAATTTCCATTTAGGACAGTTAAATTCAGCAAATCTGCAAATTTTGTATCAGACCACATGCAGTGTAATAGTGTAAACATTAATTAGCTGTGGATCACATCCGTCTTGGTTTTCTTAAAATCATCAGAAATGATGATGGCTTGAAATCGAATTATGAATACATTGTTAAATTTTCTGCGATAGTTAAAGAAAAGAAAAGTCCCGGCATTACATAGCGCGGTTTTGACATGAATGGCTCTATTCAAATATGCATTACAGCATTAATGTCAATCTTATACTTGGTCTGGAATGCAATTCTCTGGACTTATGTAGATTTATCAAGGATTTTAATAACGTTTCGAGATTGAAAATCTCGCAACTGAGACTGGCAAACAAACAGCCGTGTTTTAACGCGTGTGCTGCGCAAAATGAAGTCACAAATTAGATGAATTTCCCGTCGTATAAATTCCGCAGCGCTGACAAAAAGAGATTTGTAACGCTTTTAATTTTGCATTTAGCGAGGCTTTACGGCAGGTCTGAAGAGGTAAAAAATTTCTCTTGTTTCCTGACGCTAATGCGAAAACATTTCTTTAACATCAACGAGCCTTTCTCGCTGAAATGTAAGCTATTCTTTACGACCTTGCACAAAAGCATAATCTTGTCATCAATAGATATGTTTGTGGAAAATTTTACTTCTAATTTTGTACTTTGGACAAATTGTCAACTTCTAGAGAAATAATTCGTTCTTCGCAAATTCAATTACAATATATAGCGAACAATTTAAGTCAATTCCTTATTTCACTGCTCATAAAATTAATCTAATGTTATATAAGATCTCATAAGATCTTTTTTGTCTCTATATGATATATGTGTTTTATTTCATCTTATATGAAACGAAGACTCCTTTGAGGAAAGGAATTAATGCTTCATAGTTTCGAATCACTTGATTCATGGTTATGTGATAGCTGGCTTATCCTGCTGTATTGCAACTATTTGACTACTATTTCAAGTCTCTGTAGCATAATGCTAATTTATTATGTTATTATTATAATTTTATTCTATGGCACAAAAGATTAAATGTAATGTTCGCTATAAAATTAAGAGGATTAATTCGTCGTCAAACACTATTATAATTTCAATGTTTATTTATCAGACAATCGAATGGCCTAACCACGAAGGTAACCAAAACATTGGCACCAGAAACCTGTGTGCTAACAAACATTCGACATCTCATTTCGCTAAAAGCGTCAGTATTAATGCCTACCTTGGAGGCAGCAGATCATCCTCCATGGTTATCAACAGTGTGCAGCACAATTACTATCGTGGATGACACAAGCAAGAATAGCATCAGTTACACTGTGCTGTAAATCAGCTGCAAAGTTCATCCATAAATTAGCGGTGAGTGCGACCGTAGACAAGTGAACAAGTAGCCCCTCGAATATCCATCACAGGGATAGGAGCTATACTGTTTTGCGAGATAGACACAGGCTGACGACATGATTTATGTGCGGGTGAGGTTCCTATGGTAGACAACCAGAGGCAGAAACAAGTTACGAACATACTAATCGCAGAGTAACAGGATTAGAAAAGTTACTCATGCCATCTAAGATTCAGAAATGGTGATCATGCGCACCTACAGGCTGAAAGACACTGGATGAAAACTTTATTCACGTTTGACGAGATTATTGAAGGCAGGGCTTGGTTTTAGTAAGCTCGACATGTTGCCTCATATGACACTGGTTCTTTTATGCTACTCAAACAGCTGGTATCGGGAGATCATCAGGCGAAGGCCAACTGGCTCCTGATAAAAAGATACGTTCAAAAATTAGAAAAAAGTCAATATAAAAACTAAATTATTACGCATTGCATATCAATTTTACAGGACTAATTAATTTTTTTATGAATGAGTCAGCAAATATCACAATTCAATTATGATAAGTATTCCAATAAAACAGAGTCCCATTACTGAAATTATTAGTTTTAATCGAAGACAATTTCAGTGCTCCAGCCCCACATCACCAAGTGCAGGGATCAAATAGAAGTTCGTTGTGTAATGCGGATCACAATGTAGCAGGATTCATACTGCAAGCGAAAGCTTGGCATAGTTTCTGGAAGCCATTAAGCTAAAGCCATCTAGAATTTGAACGTTTATAATTACTCTGGTCTCAGACATACGGAAGTTGGCTTCACAAGCGTAAGAATCTTTCTCGTAATTAAGGCGCTTCGCTGCATTTCGCTTGATGCTCCCTTGTCTTCCAGGGCGTTCCTGGCAAAAATTATTGAGTGTATTTGTAGGGGCCTTTGTCTTATTATTCTTGGCAAGTTGGAATAGTGGAGCCCTTAACTATTTAAGGGATTACTGAGTTTAATTTCATGCCAAATACAACTACAACGCGTAAGTGAAGCGGGCGAGAAGTCTTTCCCATAGCCAACACTCGTGTGAGGCTAACCTTCAGGATTGCTTGCACCAAATCGCGTTCAAATCCTTCCAAATATTTACTATTGTTTTGATTTATTGACGAATTATTTTTTTCAAATGAGCCAGGCCATAATAGGGTTTTGGCGTCGCTGAAACCGAACAGTTACTTCTGCGTAAAAATAATTGTTAGAGCCGGAAAACATTTTGAAACAGGGAATTACTTGGTTAATCTCATACGATACTTTTACCATCTTTTAAGTAGTAAATCTCAATTTTATAACTAACCTTTACTTCGCTTTACGACGTATCAAACTTCGTATAACATTTGAAATTCAACTACCAGCCGGCATTCGAAAATCACTCGCCTTCCATGAGCAGGATCCAACTTATAGCTTAAAAGAAACTCGTACTTCTATGATGCTGGCGTCTGAATGGCCGTTGCTTTTGAGTGGAGAGTTTTTTCTGGATTGTTTTTGGTGTGTTTGGCAGACGGACGGACGGGAGGAATCATCAAAAGCTTCCTGGAGTCTGAGGAGCCGTACATCCGCCCCATCTGCTGCGTTTGAGCCGGAAAAACCTTCTGACAGTCCGTCCAGTCGAGGCTTGCTTGGGCTCTGCGTCTACTAAAAAGAACTGATAACTTCCAGCAAGTGTACTTTAATACGAATATTCATTATAAATGTGAGTTTTAGAACCATCAGGTCCGTGGTTTGATGATTATGTATAAGGCTATAGAATGATGTGCGCCAGTAAATTCTACATTACTCCAGCTTTTGTTAGCCCAAATTTAAGCTCCCATGCTTATTGTCTATACATAAATTACAAATACACATAAGGGAATCTATTCAGCCGAGGCGAGCATTAAACTATGCTGTTCACAAGGTCTCGGGTCTGTTTGCTCATGTCTTATATTTTATACAATATAATACGCCTGTAAAATATGGAAGGCATTACTGGATAAAAACGCAGTTTTGCAAATTCTTGGACGCCCAATAATCGTTAACATTTTCCATATATTTTTTTTTATCAGCACAAACAGAGTAATGGTAGTTATGCGCAATGATTTCAAAAAGTTGTTAATAATTTCTGTTCGTTAGTTAACGTAGACGAGGCTAAAGTACAAAGTAATTACTTAGAAGACTTACACCATCGATAACCATTACAAATCACCCATTGGTTATTAATATTTTAAATTCTTCTCCTCGATGTTTACCGCAAGAAAATTTTCCAAACACTCGCTCATCAAGACAACACCAATTCAAGGCGGTTTCTTTACAGTCATTCACACAATTTTTTGGCCTAGATATAATAATTTTAATTCAAACATTATAAGTTCGTCATCTATTTCTAGACTGAAGACCTGAAACGTTCATTTGTTAAACAGTTTTGCTTTCAGGGTTGTATTTCATTTATGGAAAGACTGGTGATTTATCACGTGAACTTCTTTAAACTTGCCTTGAAGTTCGCAAGTTTTGCCCGTTATCTTTCGAACATCTTGCATTTTTAGGAGTACTTCTTTTTTGAGCTGATCTATGGCGGGGAGAGGGAATTGGCTTCTTGCTTTAATTTACAGACAAATTATTATTTATGGGACTGCGCATTTGCTGAAGCTAGTTTAAGATAAATATTGCTAAAATTAATATTATTCAGATTTCAACCGGTGAAAGTCATCATGTCGTATATTTTCGATATTTAACCGGAGCTCACCATACTCGAAC